AGGCCACCAGAGCTCAAGTCCATTCTGTAGAAGAGAAACAAGGAGCGCCCAGGGGCCTCGGCAGCTGCCTCTAATTTAATGCCCATTCCTCACCCTGTAGAATGGATTCCCTTCCACCCCTTCATCCTGTGTATGGGGTTCCTCTCCACCCCTCACTCTGTAGAAGGGAGTTCCTCTCCACCCCTCTCATCCTACAGAAGGGAGTCTCCTCTCCATTCCCAGGTCCTCCTTGCTCCTAATGAGGGCTCTGCATCTCAGTTGCTTGGCTTGTGTGACCCTGACAGGTCCACTTGCTATGTGACTTCACCAAGATATATACCATCACCCAACACAGCCAAAACGGGGTGTCACTGTGGCCACATCTTTCTGTGCCTGCCAGGCAGTTTTAAACCTCGTATGTCCCTTGTCACTCCATCTAGGCCTGTAAAGGACATTCAGAATTCCCTGCTATAGACAGAGCCCATGTTGGAGAAGCTGTGCGTGGGTGCACCAGTGTGGGAGCCCACAGAAAGCTGGCAGCATCAAATGCAGATCATGGACGTGTGCTTGAGCCCTGGGTCCTCTGTGAGTTGGCTCATCTTTGCATATTCCAGTGACTGGCATACGGCAGGCATTTAGCAAGCATATAAGATGACTAAACCAACAGATCGAAACCTTTACACAAAGAGCCTCTGGGCCTCAGTTTCCCTTTTACAATGGGGAAGGGGCATGGATTAGATGCTGTCTCTTGGACACTAATGCCCAGGCTCCAGGAGCAGCTCTCACGACATCACCCTGTCCCTGCTTCTCTCCAGCTGCCTCTGAGACCTTTGGAATCTATTATACCCTACTCATCAAGACCCTACCCGCTGCTTCCCTGCCAGTCCAGAAAACCCTCCTTCTCAACACATTTAACCCCTATCCTCCCTTCTGGGAGCTACTGTGCCCCTTCCACAAAGCCTCCCCTGACTAGAGCCCAGCCTCAGACCTTTCAATTCCCAGACATTTTCAAGCTGTCTAAATACTCCAGACACCAAAGTCAAGTTCAAGACAGGAAGATCAACAAAGGGCAGGGTGTAAGGTTGTCTCTGGCCACCATGGAGTCCCAATCCTTCCGAGGGGCTGAGCTGGAATGCGCAGGTGCACAGTTTCTGCCGTCTTCCTGTTCTCATGACAGCATCACCTATTCTGAATGCTGTCAGTAATTTCCTTCAGTCACCGGGAGTTAGATATCCAGCTTCCTTCCTTCCTTCCTTCTTTCCTCCCTCCCTCCCTCCTTCCTTCTCTTCCCCCATTTCTTCCTTCCTTCCTTTCCTCCCTCCCTCCCTCCCATCCATTCTTCCTTCCCCTCTCCTTCCTTTCCTCCCCTCCTGTTACTTAGTCTCATTCTCTACACAGTGACATCTCTGAAACACAGGTGAGTCCATGCACCCCATCACTCATCTCTTAGGACTTTGAAGAACACTGCCTGTGAGACTGTGAGAAACTGGACTTTTTTTGCGGCAGTCCCCACCTTTCCAAACAACCTGGGTACCTGTGCACTGTCATGGGAAGCTGGAAATGGGTCATTTGCGTGTTTTTTTCCCCAGCCCTCTCGTGCTCAGTGATGGAGCCTGTAACTGAACACCATAAATGAATACTGTAGAATAGCTAAGTCACTGTGGTGTTTGTCCAAACACAGAATTAGAAAGGAGAGAGAGAGTAGAGTGGGGTGAGTGTCCAGGACATGGCCTAGCTGCTCCAGAACCCTGCCTCTGTCTCCCTTCTTCCAGATTTTATCCCTCCTCCTCATACAGTCAGCTGTCACCAGTGTGTGGGGGACAGGAAACAGAATTACAAGATTAACAGTGAGCCGGCCTTTATCACAGCTGACTCCAAGAGCCACAGTTCCCGCTTGTCACTACCTACTGCAACCTGGGGGTTGGGACAACAGCCCAAAATAAATCCTGAACTAAGTTAGAACTGAGTCCCAGGGAGATTTCCCCTGAACCAGAGAAAGAGTCCTGAGAATGGACTAGGATCCAGGTTCCCTGTGGGCATTTTCTCAAGTAATTCTATTTGTTTGTTTATTATTTTGGTTTTTCAATACAGGATTTCTCTGTGTAACAGCTCTGGCTGTCCTGGAACTGGCTTTGTAGGCCAGGCTAACCTCGAACTCACAGAGATCTGCCTGCCTCTGCCTCCTGAGTGCTAGGATTAAAGGTGCACACCACCACCTCCCTGCCAAGTAATTCTTATAAGACCCCTAAATATGTAGGCTACACTTATTTGTGCCCATTTCACAAGTGGGGACATCAAGTCTTTGGGAAGTTAGCTCACTTTCCCAGAGTTGCACAGCAAGTGACACAGAGCAGGGGACAACCCCAGCTTTGACTGACTTTGAAACTCTGTTAAGTCAGTCACTTTGCTTCCTCTGTTACTGTCCCTAAGGCCACCTGCAAAGAGCTAGATAATGGCACACCCTATCTAACCCCCCAGAAGGTCTAGCCTTCTCTCAGTTTCCTGACACAGCTCCTCATATGACCACAAACACCTATGATTCTTAGGCTGAGAGACCGGCTCCAACAAAGGCAGTCGGGACTAGTCCCCCCTTTCCCTCTTTCCCATGTGACACCTGACAGAGGAGACCCACCCAAACTGGAATAGGGGTGGTGGGGAGGGTGGGTTAGGGCATCCACGTGTCCTAGCTCTCAAACACCTGTCCTCTCCCCCACCTGTCTCTCTTTTCCTCTCTGACACCTGCTCCTGTGAGCGTCCAAAGAGCACGGGCCAGCAGGGAAGACTATTAAAGGAAGGAGGAGAGCTGGCAAGGGGAGGGAGAGGACCGATCAGGGACAAACTGAACACAGGTCCCCGCACCGCTACAAACAAGAAAAAGCAAACAGTTCCCAAGTGCCTCCTTTTCCATGAGCCAAACGAAGAGAACCAGGAGGTAGCAGGGCCTGATGGAAAGCCCACAGTTGGGCAGGAGTAAGGGGTCTGCTGGACCTCCTCCCACGGGATGGGAACCAGTGATCTTGTCTGGTTGTGTTTTCCAAGGCTTTCTGTGGGACTGCCTGGGGAAGACTCCAGAGAAGGGAGCTGCAGTCAGTCTAAGTCAAGAGGCTGCGGCTGTCAAGAAGGGTGACGGTTGGAGTTCAGTCTGACAGGAGCCTGGTGCTGAATGCTAAGATGCGCCGAGAAGAACCAGGCCGGGATGGGAGCCCAGCAGTAGAGCATGGGCTTATGGTGTGCAAGACCCTTGGTTGGGTCCTCAGCACAGCAAGAGGAACCTTAAGACTCGTGAGGTTAGAGAAGGGGGTTACCTCCTGACCTCTTCAAATCCATCGTGCCCTGGTAGGAAGGATGGAAGAGATGGAGGGTGCTAAGACGGTTTGGTGACCTGTGCTTCTACAAGGCAGCCCAGGTTGAACCTTCACCTGTAGCTCCCAACAGGGCTTCCCTCTGCAGCCAAGTCATCATGAGCCTGGAATGTGACCCTGACCTTGGCTGTGCAGGGGCTTCTGGTAGGTGTATCCGCCGCTGCTTAGATGGGATTTTTATTGACACAGACTCCTCTGACCCTAGAACTATAGCAAGTGTCGATTTAAAAACATTTTTTAAATAGTGAATAAATATTCCTGGGCCTGGAGAGATGGCTTAGCAGGTGGGAGCACTTGTTGCTCTTCTAGAGTACCTGGGTTTGATTCCCAGCACCCACATAGCAGCTCACAACCATCTGTAACTCTAGTTCCAGGGGATCTGACGCCCTCTTCTAGACTCCATGGGAACTGAAGGTAAACAGTACATAGACATATGCACAGGGAAAATACCCATACAAGTAAAATAATATTTTTAATTAAATTAATTTCATAGCACACAGTTCTTAGCCTAATGTTTAGACTCCAAGAGTATGGAATCTCCATTCCTTTCTCTGTTTTTGGTCCCTCACCCTTCTTTGAATGACCATGTCCCAAAACTGACTTTCCCTTTTCTTCTCTTCCAGAGAGTCATCAATGATTTCATTTTATGTGAATCACTAAACCCACCAAGGGAGAGAGAGAGAGAGAGAGAGAGAGAGAGAGAGAGAGAGAGAGAGAGAGAGAGAGAGAGAGAGAGAGAGTGCACACATGCGCACACACAACATACACATTTGATCGAGGTGTGATTTCTAATTCTCTTGCCACATTGTGGGTCGAGCCAGAAGTTGGGAGAACAATTGACAGACTGCCTTGCCTGCTCAATCATTTCAGTCAGACCCAATTCCCTCTCTGTACATTTGTTCCAACCCTTTCTATTTGTCATATCAGCGACTGCGACCACAGGATATGTAAAACTAGCAATTGATTTTTAGCACCGGCTCTCAACCCCCACCGCCACCCCCCTGAGGTGCCCTGGACACCACCTGGTGTCAAGTTGGTCTGTGTTTCACCCCCAGGAAACAGAGTTGTTCACTTCTCTCTCATTTATGGAGAGCTGTTGCCGAAAGAGCAGCCTTCATCAGCTGAGATGAATGGGAGGAAGAGGGAAAGGGTTTCGTGATGGGGGAGAACACCAGGAAGAGGAGGCAGACAGTGTTGGCTCCCTGGCCAGCTGGACTCTAGTCTCCTACCCAGACGTTCACACTGCAGGCTGCCTAGAAGCACCCATCCAGATCACAAAGCTTATCAGAAAAGGGGCTGAGGCCCGGGGAGATAGCTCACTCCATAAAGTGCCTGCTGCACAAGCATGAGGGCCTGAGTTCAAATCCCCAGAACCCATGAAAATGTCCAGGCTTGGTGAGGCTTGCCTGCAATCCCAGTTGTGGGGAGGTGGATACAGGAGGATCCCTGGAGCTCAATGGCCAGCCAGACTGACTGAATCAGGGCGCCCAGGTTCAGTAAGAGACTCTGTCTCAAAAAATAAGGTAGAAAGTGGTTGAGCTATGAGAGAGAGAACACAGACAGAGACAGAGATCGGGGAATGAGATATCTCTTTCTCTGCTGGATGGTGGAAATGCTGCTGGGGGAATTTATGGGGTACATTTGGCCCCGACTTCTTACCTTTGCATCCTTGACATCCTGTGCAGTTCCATGTCATCACTGCCCCGAAAGCCTTTGGCGAAGGGGTTATTCTCAATTTTCAGCTGTGTAATCTGAGAGGAGGAAGGAGAACAAGTTGGTTCACACTTGATTACTACAGGAGGACCTTGGAACAAGAGTGCATAACAAATGTGAAAAAGAGGCTCCGGACAACCCTTAGAGGACACAATGCAGCCTGTCACAGTGGCAGGACTCCCCCTTAGAGCGGAGTCTTTGAAAAATGTCCTAGGTCAGACGGTTGTTAAAAGGAAGAGGGAAACCTGGATTTGGTTTATTCATTAATTGAAGTCATATTCTGCATTGTGTATGTGTGTGTGTGTGTGCATACGTGCACATGTGTGTATTGAGCATTTTGCATTTCAAAGAAAAAGGAAGCCTCAACATTTGGCTCCTCTTCCTTCGAAAGCCATGAGTGCTGACATGGTGACTGCATATCCCACACACTGTGGTAATCTCCAGATCGCAGAAAACACATTTTGATCATTGCTTTCAAACGTCCGGTCATGCCCCATTTCCCCATTTTGCAGACAGCACTGACTAGCCCAGGTGTAAAATGCTGCCCAGTACAATAAACACCAACATCCGAGGCTCCCACACATGGTAGCTGTCCTGTGGCTCCAACCCTCTGTGGTTTTCTAGGCAAGGAAGTAGGAACTCTGTCTTTAAAATCTGTGTCAGAACCCTGAAGCAGAACTGTGTGTTTTTTCATGTTTTGGTCCAAGGCCCAGCACTTTAATTTAAACCATCAACACATATTATGTTAGTGTCAACGTAATAGTGGATCCAGGTGGCAGACTGCATCCATATGGAATTTGCTACAAGTGTATCCTAAAAGCTGTGTATGAGTTTAATTGTCACATACAGAATCACATGACAGACACCAGGGCATTATAACTGCCATCAGTGACTCAGGGTTCCCCTTAGGGGCCACTGCCACATCTAAGAGCATCTGTATACTGCTTCACTTAAATTGGGGTCTGTTTTGTTTTGTTTATATGTACATGTGTGTATACATGCCTGTGTGCATGCATGTATGTTTAGGGGCGTGCATGTGAAAGCCCAAAGTTGACACTAGTTTCCTCCTCTGTCTTTCTCTAAAGTATCTGCTGTGGCAGGATCTCTCCCACGAGCCCAGAACATGCAGATTCAACTAGTCCAGCAATCCAGCTGCCCTGAGGCTCCCATCTCCACCCCCTGAGTAATGTGACTACAGGTGCCGACTGGGCCATCTCAGCATTTGTGTGGTTGCTGGTGATCCAAACTCCAGACCTCAGGTTTGGGCAACAGCTACTTTTTCTGTGGAGCCAGTTTAATTTTAAGATTTTCTTTTAATTTCCTTTCTTTTTTCTGAGACAGGGTCTCACTATGTATCCCAGGCTGGTCTCCAGCCTAAGGTAATTCAAAGTGCTAGGATTGTAGAATTGCAGGTATGAACCCCCCACACCCAGCTATGATTTTTTATTTAAATCAACTCCCTTTCTATTCAAAAGTATTTTATTCAGAAATATTGCTCACAGCTCTATATGACAAAGGAGAATTCAGGCATGCCAGAGCCACTTGGTAATCAATAAAAAGATGACAAACTCTTTTGACATCCACAGGAAGTTCTGAAACCAAAGCCTGCCTTCTGGTTTTAAGGAGGAAAAAATCGATGCCATTAGGGAAGGTTCTAGAACAAACTAGATCTGAACTAAAACTCTCTCACGGAAAACTAGAGTCTGTGGATGGGATTGAGTCTTCCTCTGTGTCTCATCCTCTTAAACACTGAGAGCTGTCTCATTCACCCATCGGTGCTCACACTTCAGAGGATTCAGAGGATGAACCTTGCCGCCAAGCTTGATGACCCAAGTTCAATCCCTGGGTCCCACATGGGTGGAAGGCAACAACTGACCCCCCACAAGTTGCCCTCTGTCCTCCACACCAATGCAGCACCCCCCCATACACACACACACTCAAATAATTTTCTGATAAAACTGAAACTTCTCTTAGGGCCAGTGAGACTGCTCAGCAGCTCAGCAAGCCTGGAGAACTGCATTCCATTTCTAAAACACAAGTAAAAGCAGAAAGAGAGAACCGCCTCCATGGAACTGTCCTCTGGCCCCCATCGGTGCTGTGGCGTGCACACACACCATCACATTTACACACACAATAGCAATAATAATAATTAGGGGCTGAGAAGACGGCTGTGCTGGGAACAGAATTCAGGGCCTTGAACACACTGGTCCAGTGCTCAGCACAGCACCACATCCCAGCCTCCCTTCTTTTAGGGACTGCATAGACGTCTCCAGGGTATATGCATTGCTAGGGGAGAGTTGGGGTGATAGGTCAGGGGTAGATTGCCTCTAACACTAGGCTCTAGGGGTGCAGAGATAGCAGGAGCCCCAGGAACGCACTAGCTAGCCAGTCTAGCCAACTGGGAGTAACCCGTCTCAAAGAGAAGATGGGGCCAGTGAAGTGGCTTTAGCTGGTAAAGGTGTCTGTCACCAAGCCTGGCAACCTGAGCTCTGTCCCTAGGACTGATAGGAGAGAAGGAGAGGATTGACTCTCGTAAGTTGTCATCTGACCTCCAGCTATGTGCAGAGTACACAAACACACACACACACACACACACACACACCACATGCACACATCCACATATGTACACATACAAACACACATACTCATATGCACACATACACACACACACCACATGCACACATCCACATATGTATACACACACACCACAGGCAAACACACATATGTGCACACACATACACTTATGTACACATACAAACACACATACACGTATGCACACATGCACACATGCACACACACACACCACAGGCATACACAACACACGCACAGGCACACACAAACATGTGCACACACACAAAGAGAACCACCCTTGAGAAATCCTTCTAGACCGTGAAACACGGCTTATTTTGCACACGGCCTCAGACACTATAAACCAGTCTATAAACTGTAGGCTGCACATCAGCTTATGAACCCCCAAATCCACACACCTGGAAGCCCTGCGCCTACCAAAAAGCTCCAGGGAAATCTACTTCTATTTACCATACAAATACACTCCCTTCCAAAATCAGCACAAAACCGGATATCCGGGGAGGGAGAAAGTGGAAGGGGGGGCAAATATAAATGCCAGCTCCAACTGGTGAGACAGCGGTTGTAAAAATTAATGAAAATAATTGTTGCAAATTCTTGCTTTTGAGAGGAAAAAAAACTCACAAGGGCCAAAAATCTTAATTATGTCTCTCTATTAGGGGCTTCATTTCCTGGTCCTGACCAGAAAGCTAGTACCTCATAAATATGGACTCCACACACAAGGACTTAAGCTGGAATAAAGCACCTCAGAATGGAAAAGCCAGTTAGCATTGGGGGATAGGCATGCTTGCATACACAGCCATTGTCGTAAGAGCCGCCGGGAAATGAAATGCCCGAGTGACTTGTGTTTAACACCTACATATTTCTAGGCGGTGTGCTGAGAGTTGCTGACAACTGCTGTGAAGACCCAAACAAAAATGTGTTTCCCGGAGAGTACATGCATCGCAGCTAGGGAAGAGTTGAGTTTTCAAATATCTTTTTTTTTCAGGCTGTCAAACATCTGGGGAAATAACTCCCAAATCCAGCTTAGGATCACAGCTGGGCTGAGAAAATATGGCTCACCATTAAGAATCCTGTGCTGAAACGGTGTGTGTGCCTTATCACCTAAGGAAGGAACCCTGCCACACACCCATCCCTACCTGGCACCTGGCTCTTGAGGACAAAGCATCCTGGGACACTGAGTTCTTTGAACCCCTACCCAAACAGTGGCTTGCATTCTTCAGGTGTCCACTCACCCAGAATATTTTCCCCAAACTCTTTCATACAAAACAAAACAAGTAAGTTCTTGACTGGCAAGGAGATCACAAAGACCAGCATCCCTAGTTATTTTTTTCAACCACAATGATAGATTTAATTTTTAAAATGCCGGTCATTCAGCTTATTATATAACCAAGGAGTTTAATATAATGATGAACAGGAAAAGATTACACACACACACACACACACACACACACACACACAAATAATAATAATCAAAAGTTTTGAACAGAGCTAACCCGTAAACAAACCAGTGGCTAGAGACACACCATTGCCTCATCACAAAGCCATTCCCAGAGATTATTTTGTGATTATCTTATGAAATCCTCTCAAGGACCTCGTGAAATGGATGCTGTTGTGAGTCCCATTTTACAGATGGGAAAACTGGGTCAGATTTTGCCTTTGAATCTTAGCTCTCTGTCCTGGCCCCCTCCCTCGGGGGTACACCCCTTAATCCACATGGTGCTAACATCTCAACTGGCTTACCCGTGCCCTCAGCCCTCTCAGCACCCATGCCAGCTGGGACAATAAAGTGAGAGACGCTGCCCACAGATCATGAGAAACCATGGCCCAGTTTATTTAAGTCGCACATCGTATATCCACCCAAGGAATGTTTTCTAGGGTCTTGAACTTGACTGGGAAGTGTGTCACTTTGGGCACTTCACATAGAAAATGACTGATTCTGATGGAAGATGTGGGAGGGCAGAAACTTGTCTCCTGTGAACCCCTCTTCCATGGATCCAAAACCTCTCCACCTGGCTAAAAAGGCCTTCCTATGCAGTTCAACTAGAGTCCCACAGGCAACTAAGACAGGAAGCAATCTGGGTGGGTGGAATTTCTGTGCGGTCATCAAACACACACCCAAACGAGTGGCTGGAGATCCACGCTGGCAGATCTGTGAACGGTTCTTTGCACTGTGCTCCAAACTCATACGTGGGCCAACAAAATGGCTCAATTCCCGGGACTCACGAAGAGGTAGAAAGAAAGAGTGAACTCCCACCAGATGTGCTCTGACCTGGACAAGCAAACCATAGCACATGTATAACCCCCACCCCCACACACACATAGAAATATAACACTGTTGGGGGTATGTCACATGTGACATAGCAGTCTTCGAGAGGCCAGAAATGCAGCTCGGTGACAGGATGCATGCTTGGCAATGCTTGAAGCTATGAGTTCAAACCCCAGCATACTCAAAAACAAACCAAAAATCAAGTGCCCACTGTGTGAAGCTAAAGACAGAGACGCGAGGGAAGGGATGTGCACAGACTGCACATGGTACATACATCACAGCATTATCACGACAAAACTCAGACCATGCCAAGGATCCAAGGACCCACTTTTTAAAAGATCGTTTTATATGCACACGCACACCCCCCCACACACACACACACCCTTCTTCTGTGAACCTAAGCTTGCCTGAGTGGGAGATGGATGTATCTGTGCTCCTTGTGTCCAGTCTGGGAGTCTTTAAGCAATGATATGGCCAGAGTTAACCAAGGATTTGGGTTTGCAGCATCACGGAGGAAACCCATATCTGGGAGTGTGACTCGGGGTAGACTTAGTCTGGCTGAGTCAGCTGAGCTGACCTCACCATTTTGCCCTTGCTGGGGTCAACTCTGTTCTTTCCCCCTTTAAAAAGTAATTGTGTTTGGGGAGGGGGCTGGGGTTTCTTCTGGGGCAGGGGAAGGAAACTCTCCATAGATCTGGAAGGAATCATCCATCATAGTCAGGCCACTTACAGTCTGAATTCGGAGACTACCCACCGTGGGTTGTAACAGGATTGGCTGAGGTATTCTCTACCACCCAGCCAGCACCAGAATGACCTCCACTGGACGGCCCGGAACTAAACCTGCCTGTGACCCTTCTGTGGCCTGGCCTGCCGGCTAACGTCACCCAGATTGAGGAGGAGCAGGGTCTAAGAGAGGGGGTGGGCCCTCACTGAGCTCACATGGGGTGCCCCTCCCCCGTTAGCCTCGGCTATGCCACCTGCCCACTGGTCTCAAGAGAAAGGGCAATCCTCACCCACGGTAGCATTAGCAACCTGGTACCTTTCGCCCCACAGGCTTGCACCAGTTTTAAGTGCAAGACAAGTTTGGTTCTAACTAGAAAACGGTGGGTGAGAGACATCCTCCCCCACCACGAATATAATACAAACAGCTCCACCTCGACTTCTGCCCAGACCCGGGAGGAGAGAATAGAAGCTGAGCAGCTGGACTGTGGACCCACCCTCAGCCTTAAAGAACTGTATTTCTACGAAGACCCAGCGCATGCGTCCATGTAAACCAGCAGGCGCGCCTCCCCCTTGCAGGCGCCCAGAGAGTGAGGCTTACCTTGTGATTCTGGTACGAAGTCACTGCGATAAACGCGGTCTCCGGAAAGACGTGGGTGCAGAACGCAGTATTCTTTGAACCAAATCCATTATTTTCGTCTGCTTTCACGATGTGTAATCGGGGCTGGTATTTGTGCATGGAGTTCAGGATAATCTAAAAAATAACAGAGAAAATGAGATTGTCCGAAGGAGAAAAAAAATCAAAACTCCCTTTGTTTCCAGCTAGATCCTTGCTCCTCCCCCATCTGCAGTGCCAATTAGCTTTATTATATAGGCTCTCAGGAAGGAAAACAAATAGTCTTTTTTTTTCTTCTGTTTTGAAAAGGGGCCAGTGATTTCATTTAAAAGAAACATTTCAAAAATGACAATTTCCACATAAGAAAGGCAAGGTAATATTCCAGGAACCTACCCAAAGCACACACGGCAGTAAATCAGAATTCTTAATAAAGTTTGCTTAATAAATTAACTCTGTATATAAGGGCACTTCCCGCCCCCAACGGGGGCCTGGTAAGTCTGGAGGCGGGAACCAGTGGGGGTTGGGAAAGGCGGACAGCAGTGTGGCCACCGGGGACAGGAAGAACATGTGTGCATACGTACATACAAATAGTCGTGTCACACACCCCTCCTCAAACTCCTCCTGACCAAGGCCAAGGGCTGATGCAACTCTAGCCAGAAAGGCCTCAAACCTAGGCCCTTTGTTTTGAAACATGAAAAGGAGTCAGAGAGAGAGAGAGAGAGAGAGAGAGAGAGAGAGAGAGAGAGAGAGAGAGCTCTGTGAGGCGGTGAGGAGGCAGACTGGTTGACCTGGAGGCTTCCTTTCTCTAACATTTGGGGCTCAGAGACAGATCTCCATGTCTACTAGGAGGGGGGTTTGTGTTCATCTCCCTTCGGGGTACTCTGGGTGGGGCTTACCCTGCTGCTGTGTCTATTGTCACAATCACATTACTATTATTAGGAGACAGAGGAGGATCCCTGGTTGCAAATTGCGGCTGGAGTCAGGACTCCTGCACAAGCATCCATAGCAATAAAACTGAGTTTGCCGTCCAGATGATGCCCATATTTTGATGCTGGGGGTGGGGTGACTGCTTAATAGTCACCAAAACTTTTCTAATGCAGCAGGCCACATTTACCCATTCCCTGAACCTGGCCTGCTTTTCCCACAGGATGCCATGCCCCAAATGTTGCTTGGTGTCTCTGATTATTTGCATTGCTAACCCTGGCTTGCAGAATCCCTGGCCCAACCCAACAAGACCCTCGAGGGTTCAGAGATGCAATCCCTCCCTGCCTGGGGGCATCTATCTCTAACAACACACACACACACACACACACACACACACACACACACACACACCTCCCAAACGTATAGTGAGGGTGGCTGACCCGGGCCCGCGTGGCGACAGGGAGACGCACTGGGGCCCCTGGATTGACTGCCACATGCCACAGCCCCTGGGCCAGCACAGCCGTCGTCCCAGCTTAACCAAATTGCTTTGACAGCTGGGGACAGTGTAGAGACTTCAGAAAGAGGGTGATCTAATGGCCTCTAATTCCATCAGAGTGACTCTAGATTAAAAGTTGGGGTAGTGTACTTCTCTTGTTTTTCCTTGGGTTGTTGAGAGGGGGGAAAAACAGCTAAAGCTAAATACCCTGTATTTGTTGATAGAGTCAAAGACCTTTCCTGGAATATCTACTCCAGAGTGACCCAAAAAGCACTATTAGAAAAACAGGGGAAGCAGTTTGAGCTGAAATGGCATTGGGAGACAGACTCAGTTGCCAGCTGATGGTTCTACAGAAGCCCCCACTCAAAGGGCTCAGCACTCATATGGATGCAGCCAGAGGAAGGAAACAGGCAGGGTATCCAGGACCTTGAACTTAATGTACCTGGTTAGTAACCTCAGGAAACCCCAAACCTTCTAATCCTGCACCAGGAGAGCACCCAGACCATTTATGTACTAGAGTCACAATCCAACCTTCTCCCCTCCTATCTGCAGAACCCCTCAGGGGACCATCCTGAAACCAATCCACTACCGTCCCCAGGACCCAGTTGGCCTCTGTCACCACCACCCAGAAGGGGTAGATTCAACATTTGAACTTATCTCCTACCCAGACCCTTATTTCCCCAAACTGGAGACTGTGTGCCTCCATGGTGAATCCTCTGTCCCAAAAGGAACTGTATTAGCTTGGGCACATCCTCTCCCTTCCCCCCACTTCCTTTTGTAAAAACAACCTTGAGTACCAGCTTCCCAAAGATGAGCACATTCGAACCTTCTAGCAAAGGGCTCTGAATGCAGAATTCAAAGTCAAAGAAATTGAGAGATTTGGGACTATTTCTCCCAAAAGCCGGTGTTTTGTGTTCTTTGGGTAAAGAAGGGTGAGGTTGGGCTGGGAACCCACTGAAAGCAATGGATCACCAGAGAGAGGAACTGTACACAGTCACTATACACACTCAATGCACACACTATACACACTGTACACACTCACTATACACACTTACAATACACACTCAACTATAAACATTCACTATGCACACTCAATACATACTCGCTATAAACACTATACACACTAATTATACACACTCACTATACCCATGTTATTTGGGGGATTCCTCAGGTCTTCTCTTAGAGCTAAACTGACTCCAGGTTTAGGGTTCTGGTTTAGGTTTGACCCCTCTAAGCATGGAAAGGAGACTGGATAATAAGACAAAATAAAATCTATCTTCCCAAGAGTTTACAGGAGGTGCTGGTGTCAGGGTTCACTTGCCACCCATAAGAGATGGGGCAGGAGACCGGGCACTCTCCTTCCCTTGGGAGAGTCAATTCTAATTCAGGGCTTGGAAATAGATTGGCCTGAAGCCCCATCTCCAGCCACCCAGGGAAAAGGAAAGACAGATCCTGGGCTAGACCACAAGGAAGATAGAGCAGAGGATGTCCCCTCAGTTGGGGAGTGGTGGAGCCAAAAGAAATAGAGGGAAAGGAAGGTCAGGGGTAAGAGTGACTTGAGAATGTGACAAAGAGGGGAGAAGGTGGGACAGGAATTTCCAGATCAGAGACACGGAGAATGGGACTGGTGCGCTGCCTCTTGCTGATAATTCCAGCCTCTGGGAGGGTCCCAACTAGTTGGGGGATAGCTTGGGGTTATGTAAATGGAATCCTGGAGATAGAACTAGAGAAGTGTGGAGGCAGAAGAGAGAGAGAGAGAGAGAGAGAGAGAGAGAGAGAGAGAGAGAGAGAGAGGGAGGTTTAGAAGTCAAAAGATAGAGTCCCCGAGAGGAGTAAGGAAATGGGGGCGGGGAGTGAGGGTGAAGGGACCCCACACGCTGATGGGGGGCAGGCTACTTACGTGCCCAAATGGGTCCAGGTGGTTGTTGGTGAGCTTCAGTTTCTGGAAGGAGACAAGTTGTCGCATCCAGTGTGCTCCGGTTGCCGGGGAGTCCGGGTGCACATAAAGGCGACCTGGCATGGCGGGTTCAGCTTTGCCGGTAACAGACCTAGGTGAAGGAGACCAGGAGCTGCGGGGCTTTCCGTGGCCCAGAGGTAGCTGACCTGAAGAGGGCTGCTGTTCTCGGTACAGCCCCCCTCCCCGCTCCAGAGCTCCCCACAATGCATCCAACCAAACCCCTCGCCTGACTCCTTCTTCTTCCCCAGCCCAGCACCAGGAGTGTGTGGGGCCTCGAAGCTTATGCTGCCCACACATTATTGGTGAGATGTGAAAATCTGCACATGCAAAACTCTTGGAAACTACTTAAGTGCTTTCAAAGGAGCCATCCTCTTCCAGCCTCCCAGCAGTGCAGTGGAGCCCAGGAATGAATGGCTTAGGCGCTCCTGACTGCTTCACCACTAAAGCCAGGGGCCAGTTTTGCAGTTTCATAAAAAACGGCATGTTCAAAGCAGGTAACTCATAAAAAATAACTGTAAATGGTTTTGTGCCCCCCAGAAATATATCCAGTACTTGGTAACAATACCCTTTTTACAAAAACTAAAATAAAATAAAAAATGTGCAGCCCATGTGGCTATAGAGTACACAAGCAGCCTCACTTCCCTGGCAGCCTCAGTTTTCAGGCCTATGAAATGGGAGACAGTTGCTGCAGCCCCTTTTTATACAATAGAATAGGCACACAAGTCTTGAGCCTTAGTAGGAGCTGTTAGTAATAATAATAATAATAATAATAATAATAATAATAATAGTGTTTACTGGTTCAGTTGCTGGGAAATGGAATAGACATTGCACTTCCCTCCCAGCTTTCCTGTCCTCTGGAACTCTGGCCTACCATTTATTATCTGCAAATTTGTATCTGTGGTCATCTGCAGGAACAATATCCATGAGAAGAATGTACTTCGTTTTGGGATTCAGGCCAGTCACCTTCACTTTGTAACTAGGAAACATCCGCCTGGGAGAGAGAGGGAGAGGGAGAGGGGGACACACACCGAGAAAGAAGTGGTGGTTAATTCCGATACTCAGAAGAACCATTCCTGATCCTTTAGCAATTCCCGGAGAAATGAAGGGCACTGGCCCCACTCCATCCCCGGTGAGATCCAGCCCGGGTTTCCCCTGAAATTACTGGGAGGAGAATAGAACTCAGAAAGAAGGAGGCAGCTGCAGCGGTAGCCCGCACCCAGAAAGAAAATTGGACTCAGAGATTGAAGCTTATGGACTTCTATGTTTAAGAGACTCACTTTCTGGGGAACCTGGTACAAGGGTGAGGAGTACAAAGCTAGCGGCCTTCTCACTCTGGGGTGAGAAGGTACCCCGGGGACACATCACCTTAGATACTAACTTTAGTCCTCTGCCCTTGGCGGTGCAGGTTAACTGTGGCTGCCATAGTGGTTCCTACCCCGCATTGCCAGCGTGCGGGGTTTTTCATAAATGACCTGTAACTTCTCCACGGAGCTTGGCAGATTTCCCTGGGGAGCTTAAAACTCCCAGGCACTCAGGAAAGAAATTCCAAAGCCTTCCAGAGTCGGTTTTAGAGAGAGCCGAAGCCTCTACTAGAAAGCTGATGGCATACAACTGGTGCCGGCCGAACTCGAATCCCTAGGGCTCCCCAGGCCTCGGCCCCACTAGAAATTTTTCCTTAAGGTCAGGTGAGGACAGAGCCTCAGAGAGCAGGGGATCCGACTGGATTTGTGCATCTGGACAAGACGTTGGACCTGGGTTGGTGCAGCGTGAGAAGAGAGGCTAGGAGGCACCCGGAGCCCGAACCTCCTCGTGTTTATCTGCCCTAGCAAGAGCGCCTGCCCCGTAGGCAGAGACACAAGAAACTGACTTTGCAAGCCTTTTATAGTTAAATCCTCCCGGCTCCAGCGAGGGGGAAAAAGGCAGCAGCCGGCTGGGGCTTTCCTTCCTGGGCAGGATGGGAAAGGGGACCTCAGATGTCTGATATAAACAGACCCACCGCCTTCTAGTTCACTAGGGCCTTGGGCTGAGCGGGGGAGCCGACATTGTTTAATTTCAAGAAATAATAAACGTCACCGTTGTCAGTTTATTGAGCGCGGCTTGGGCTGGAGAACCCGCGGAATCTGGAAAAATCAACTCCACCCTTTGCCTTTACACACCCGGCAGCTCCGGCCCACTGGCCTGGCCTCTGTCTATTCACACGCTGGCTCTAGCCAGACTCCCGACCTCTTAGATGCTCTCAGATGGTGGGGACCTCCGTAGCATCGCAGACCGGTCAGGAAGCAGAGTAGGTTCCCCAGGCACAAACGCTGGCGGGAACACCAGAGCTTGCACCTCTCTGCCACCCTTCCCCCCAGGCCTAGCCTTTCTAGCTGAAACTCCTGCCGGCCTTGTGAGCGATTTTGGGCCCTGCGCAATGGCCTGGCCGGTCGGCTGTGTTTATCCGTGTCTGTGTACAGAGCTCCGAGGAGCCCTCCGCTCTCTTTCAAAGGCTTTACCCGCTCTCTATAAACAATGAGAGAGGTAGCGAATACATTCAACAGTTTCAGGATTTGGCTATCGTGGGGTGGGACCCTGGAATTATTCCAAGGTCAGAGAAGATAGGAAAAGGGTGGGGGCAAGGGATCGAGTCTAAATCCAACAACTCAAAGTCCTTCTCCAAGTTCTCCGTTCTCTGTGCCTGTGCCGTTCTCTATGTCTCTCTCTCTCTCTCTCTCTCTCTCTCTCTCTCTCTCTCTCTCTCTCTCTCTCTCTCTCTCTCTCTCACCTGTCCAGATAGCTTGGGCACCTGCCTGTGCACTTTCATCTTCCTATAAGACTGGGAAGGAATATCCATCCCAACCAGAGGTAAGCCTTAGGGGTAGGTCTCCATCCTGCTGAGGACTCTTTAGCCAGAATGGACTCTGATTAAATATTGTCTCTGTTCTATTTTCTTCTCCCTGCCTAGCCTCCCTGTTTTCTCCCTCTCCTTCTGTGCCAGGGGCCGGCTCACCTCCCCGCCTTTGTGATGATCATCTCTGTGCCCACTTCATGGAACTTCAGCCACAATTCTCTTTCATGAAGAAACACCTTGATTCCTTCCATGCCCTGAGAAACAGAGAAAATTTTTCGGAGATAAGTCTTAGGGGGCAATCTTTTCCCAACACCCCCCCCATGCAGAGGCTGCTTTTCTATTACCCTCTGAAGCCTGTGAATTCAAAGAAAGGGGGTTCTGACTTCTGCTGAATGACAGGAACTCTAGGGTAACCCAAGGCATCTATCTGCCTAGGATTCACTAAGCAGGCTTGAGATGCTTCCAGCAACCTCTCAGCTCAAAGTACCTGTTTGTCTCCTCCAACAGCTTGAGGCCTGAGAATCATCTCCCAGCACTGTGCTTCTCCATAGAGGACCAGGACAGCTAATTTTGATCCATTTTTTAGCTGAGATTCAGTTTGGGGGGTGGCAATCCAGAAAACCCCACTAGGATATTCTTGTATGGTCGCCCAGATACAAAACACATAGCTACGCAAATGTATGACTGTCTGTCATCCCTGGGTGCGAATATAAACATACAAGAATTTTTCAGTCCTATTATTATTATTTCTTGAGACAAGGTCTCACTCTGCAGCCCAGGCAGGCCTGGAATTCACTATACAGCACTTGTATTGGTATCAAACTCTTGGCAATCCTCCTGCCTCACCCTCCCAAGTGCTGAGATTCCAACACACGTGGGTCACTATGTGGGAATTTTCATTTTTAAAATGTTTTTTCCCCAAAGACCAAAAACAAAGATTAACTCTCAGTGTCTTTATTAGTAATACTTCCAGACAGGCCCTCACCATACCGCTGCCCAACCTTGACTTGGGGCAGCCCCAGAGACTTTAACATTTTCCCTTTCAACTGGCAGTTATTTTCAAAAACCAATACCAAAGCAGTCAGACACAACTATTCACTTTGAAACAGTTATTAATCGACTAAAAGGTGGACTGTTTTCCTTTTAAAAAATCTGCACATTTCCCGCAACTATTCTTAATCCTCTCTGATTTTATTAAAACACACACACACACACACACACACACACACACACACGCATCTTTTGGAAACATGAAGCTAATGAAGCTAAGAAGAGAGCCTGGGAATCGAGCTTCCTAGGAAGAATTTCTGCACCAAACCCATCTCCCTGGTCAAGCCTCCCTGCTCAGTGTCTGGTGACACCTAGCTTTTAAATCCACCTGGAGCACCCAAAGCATTGGCCTTCTCAGAGTGCGGAGCACAACGTGAGACACCCCCTCCCCGCACTCCGCCCCTCCACTCGGGACCAGCCGGAGGAGGTCTCACGGGGCTCTGGGTGCCCTGGTCCCAGCCCCCGTGTGCTCTCCTCGGCGGGTCAGGCGCTCCTCCAGGTCCCAGAGCAAGATAAATGGTGCAGCGTGAGGGGCAAGGCGGCCTGCGCAGAGCAGGCGGGCGGAGGCGAAGGCTAAGAAAGATCTAAAGGGGGTCAAGCCATCGCTCATGCCGGCCTGAAGCGGCCGCTGACCCGACCCTTAATAAGGTATACCCGGGGCAGCTGGAAGAGAATTATCTGAGCCATTGTTAGCTGACCCCAAATAGTCGGATAATTGAGAGCTCTCCAATAATGTAAATAGGTTTCTAAAATACGCAGGCCATAAAGATAAACGCCTCGATAAAGTGGATTGGAATAGAGTGGAATTGAGGGAGATTGGATGAGACTAGCCAGGAAAGGAGGGGGGAGTAACCGCTAGTTGGGAGCCAGCCTGGCTTAGGCCTCGGTATGAGCTGCTGGGCCGACTTTTCTTACCTGCTGGGTGAAGGCGGCCTGCGGAGATGACGGAGACTTGCTGGGAGCCCCCAGGGCATTCTCGGGTTTTGAATCACAGGACCTGTCTTTGGAGTCAGGCTCCAGAGGCGTGTGCGCAAGCCCGAAGCCCTCATCTGCATCCGCCATGGTGCGCCCGGGGTCCCGTGCCGGCGCGAGGTTCTATTCTGAGGACAAGAGTCAGAGTTGGAGAGTGTCTAGCGACATCGGGGGCAGCTGTTTGACCCTCCACTCCCAGCTGAAAGAGGTTGCGGAAAGTCTTTTTATTATTTCACTTTCCGACCACGCACCACCGCTTGCGAAATACCCGCTTCAGACAGGGAGGAGGCGGCAAGGCCCCCCGCATCTCCCCTGCTCAGGCTCTGGGCGATAAGAGAGCTGTCCGTCAAATTTGTCTGAACTCCTGGAAGAGCCAATAAAGATAAGGCGTCGGTATTTTTGGAAGCCATCGGGTAGGAACCCAAAACAAAACAGAAAACAAAATCCCAGAGCCCCTTTGAGAAATGGTCTTTGTCAAATTCAGGAGGCCTTGGCAGCATTTTTTTTAATGAAACCCGTAAAAGACATTATTTTCCCACAATAGTCAAAAGGCCCAGAATGACCCGCGTCTTGCAAAAATAAAAAACCGCAGGAGAGGAAGTAGTTGAAGAGATACACCGGGAGGAAAGAGAATCGTGAACCTCTCGCCATTTCATACAGGCCTTAAGATGAAACCACCTTTAAAATGAAGTCTTCCCCTCTCCCAACCTTAAGCAAGACCAGTTTTTTGTTTTTGTTTTAATTAAAAGTAGCTACACTGAAGAGAGGAGGGAGGGATCGGAGAGGGGCCAGCAACTCTGCTGCTGGCGGCTCTACGCTGCCAGCCAGTGGGCTGTACTCTCCCTGCTCCTTCAGATCGTCTGGCTGGGGTTAGCTAGGCGGGCAGGCGTTTTGTGGAGCAGCCGGGCTAAACGGAACTCTTTTGAGCTTCACTCAGAGCTAGCTTGCTCAAACTGCAGGCCTGGCTCCTGGTTGGATAGTCTAAAATCGGTCCCAGACAAATCCGGGGCTGTAAGCATTGAATGGGCTGCCAGGGACCTACGCAGTTATTAGGGCAGCCAGCCCCGGGGTTCAACCGAGGAAGATGAAGCCTCCTTCCTCAAGGAAAGATTTCTACCACCGCCTCCACTTCAAAGTGCCAGAACGGTTCAGAAAAGGGATGCCATCACACAAACCCCGACACACACACACACACACACACACACACACACACACACACACACACACACACAATTTTAGCAGCTTCTTAGGCAAGAAGGCTGGATCCCAACCTGGTTTGTAGCGGCCTGAGACATAAATGGGGCCGCGGCCAGCTTCTGAGGCCCAGTTCTCTGACATCTTTCTTCTTCTGGCCCCAGGAGTTGGGGAGAGGGGACTGCCAAGGGAGCCCCATAGTCTTTTCATAACAAAGGAAAACAGGGCTGGCGCCCCACACGCTCTCCCATTCACGGCCAGCCACCGGGAGAAACCCACCCTAGCCCTTGCCAGAATCCCGGGAAGCTGGGGGGATGGCGGAGGCGAACAAGATGTGGTTTGACAGAACCAGGCCGTGTGCCTCGTAAGCCTCAGTGCTGCTCCCCCAGTCTCGGCAGCCTCCCGGCTCCCTCTTGCCTTGAAAGGTCCAGGCCCGTATAAAAACTCTGCAAGCCAGACTCTGCAGAATGCAAGACGGGGCTGGAGTCCGCCATTCTCCGCTTCCCCAGCCGACTGTTGCTGCCTGCTCCCGCCCGGCCATCTGTTTGTACCGTTACCTCGCTCTGTGCAGCGGGATGCATTCACCACTACCCCTGTTCCTCTTAACGGGAAAGTCGGAGGCCAGGTGGGGGTGCAGGCATGGTGACTCTGGAGTTTGTGCTGGGAACTGCTTGCTTGCCCTAGCTAGCTGCTACTGTTGCTACGAAGAAGTACCAAGGACGGGAGCCTCCCAGCGACTGCCCACCTCCAGCGCACACCTCCTCCGCAGCTCGCTGGCTGTGCGCTAGTCTAAATGCTTTTAAGTTGTCAGGCTCCAGAAGGGTTCAGAAGAACACGAAACTAAACAGCAGGTCCGGGAGCACCCCCAAACCATACCATACAATCTCAGGACCCTGCTCTGCCCTTGTATCCTCTGAGAAGAAAAGTTGGGAAGTTGGGGGACCTGGGAGAGCCTTGGGAATCGGCCAGCTGCTTTCAGAGAGACCCTTTTGGGGTTAAAGTCCCAGAATTTGAGGTATGAGAGCCTCTCTCTCTCTCTCTCTCTCTCTCTCTCTCTCTCTCTCTCTCTCTCTCTCACCCTCCCCCCTCCCTCTCTTGCTCCCTCCCTCCCTTAGACAATCTAACTCAGCTGGGATGCCAGGATGCTTACAAAAGTATAGCTATTGCTTCTCCAACTCTCTCTGTGGGTCTATCTGTCTCTCTCTCTCCCTTCTCTCCCTCCCTCCTCCACCTCCCTTTCCACTTTCTCACTAGGTACTGCCCCAAACACTACAGGACCCTCATTCTAGACCTGGTGGTTCCCTGCCCCCACTCCCCTCCCATCCTCCTCCCAGCATCTCAGTTGGCTGCGCTGAGCTGCAAGGAGGGCTGAAAGGAGGAAAGTCAGAAAGAGAGAATGGAAGGAAGAAAGGAACGGAGGATAGAAGAAAGAAAGAAGGAAGGAAAGCTACAGGAGTCAGGGCAGAGTCAACCAACTTCTCTCAGGGGACCCCACCAATTTCAATGGCCTGGCCATGCAGAGAACCAGGATTGGATGCATTAGGCGTGTGCACACACCCAAGGGCCTGTGCAGCCTCACCCGATTTCTGTCTCCAGTGCTGACCTCAGACAGAGAGCGGTGTGACCCTTCCTGGCCCCATGCAGAGCCAGGACTAGCTAGCTGCCTTGACAGCTCTCCTCCACCCCAGATGTATCACTGGCTCCCTCAAGCTCTCTAGGACTTGGGGAAGAAGATGCCTTGGGATGGGGCACCAAGATCAAAGATGCCAAGAAATCATTGTGTGGTGTGTGTGTGTGTGTGTGTGTGTGTGTGTGCACCCCCCTCACACAGAGACACACACACACACACACACACACACACACACGGTGCACACAGGACAGTGCTCAGGTTTATTGAGATAATCAGTCACTGAGGGCTGGCTGGGGTTTCAGCTCCCAGTGCTCCTTGGCCTGCCCTTTGCCTCTCCGAAGGCTGCTGTTCAGAGAGTGAATGGAGGCAGAAAGCAGCCCACAGCAGAGACACTGGCAGGAGGTCTTGGTGTAAGCAGAACCAGGCTGGGACAACATCGCCTGAAACAAATGCCAGTGATCCCATTCTGTGTCCCACTGCAGCCTCCATATACCCTCGCAGCAGGCTTCTTTTCTGGGACTTTAATTAGAGAATACACCTTAGAGCCAAGGACTGGAAACAGAGGAAAAATGCCCTGGACTGGACTCCAGCAACAACACAGCATCTGTGGCTGCAAAACTGCAGGCCGCCCCTGCACTATTTCTCCAGTGGACATTTTGGTTGTAAATGTGGGGCAACTAGGGAGAAACCCCACCTTCTATCTTCAAGGTCTGTTTTCAAGCAGACCTTGGCGAAGGGCAGCTATTTATTTGTGCAAACACCTTCACTCTTCCAAAAGTCTGCACTGAGCCCTTTGGGTTTGAACAGAGGCAACCTCAACCTCGGGCGGAGAACAGAAGGCCAACCTGACCTCAGGATGAGAGCCTGCCTCTCTGGTTGAAGGAAGGGGGAAATCCAGACAGACCTCTCCAATCCCTTTACATTCTCAGAGATTTGAGGATAAAATTAATCCCCATAAATAATCAGCAGGCTCTTCCCGAGAGGGAAAATCTGGGCTTCTCCAAGCAACAACCCAGCCAGATACACTTCCTTCGCTGAGCTTAGATGGCGCACAGCGCCAGCCACAACACAATGTTGTTTTGAGTATTTTTTTTCTTAAAACCTGGAGGAAGAAATCCATTCTTGAAAGTGATTGTAGGTGAAATCAAAGGCGTAGATGGCGTAAGGAGGGGATTCAGCCAGGCCTAGGTAGGGTGGGAAGCTGGGGGTTCCAGGGAAAATAAAGGCCAGCCTATAAATATCTACCCCCCCCCAATTCTCCCAAACAAGACTCACCTCCCGTAATCTCACCTCTTCTTTCCACCCAGAAGTCAAGAAATGCTCACTGAGGTAAGGCAGTTCACAAGAAGTTTTGAAAGGACATCCCCCCCAAAAAAGAGCCCCTTTTAAAGCGAAGACTTCTTCCAGGGTCTGTCAAGAGAAGCAAGTACCTCCCAGTCTGTCGTTGGTTTGCGGTCTCCGACAAATTAAATATTACTGTTTATTGCCAGGCATACCCCAATAAAATAAAGAGGCGACCGGGCGATAGCGACTATCTCACCAGCCGCTGCTCCTATAGGGCTTGGAGACGTCACAAGTCACGCAACCAGCCCGCGCCTAGTCACGCTTGACTGGGGGGCAGTGGCGGGAGGCTGAGTTCTCTCCATCTTCGTCTATCAAGGTCTGTTGTAAGACACAAGTCCAGAATGCCTGGACCCTGAAGAAAATGAAGAAATAAATAAATAAACCCAGAGCTCCCTGGGGAAGTAGGGGTGATGAACAGGAGACACAAATAGAATGAAGACCAAATGAGATGGGAGCCCACATCAGCTCCCATGTGTAGGGAAAACCAGTGTTTCCAAGGTCCATTGCAAAAGGCAAAGATTTCTTACTTACACAGTTTTATTTTTCTGATGAGGAGGCCGTTTTAGCTGGTTACATTTGGGGTACCATATCTCATGCCCAGGTCCGTTCCTGCACTGAAATAATTACTAGGGGCTATCTTAGTGGATATCGTGTATCTCAGATGTCTGCCAAAGTTCCTTGTAGAGAGAAAGGCCGCTCCTTCACTAAGGTCCTGGGATGCAATCGGTCCCAGAGTGGCCAGACGGGGGCGGGGTGCAAGTGTGTGGCGGGGCGGGGTGGGAGCAGGGCTGGAGAGGGGTGCACTGTGAGGAGAAAAAAAAAATCAGCATCGGGTCTTGCAGAGGGACGACGCACTCTTGTTTTGTTTTGTGGAAATCGGCAATTATTTCCAGTTGGATCAATGGGTATAATTTCTAAGTGGTCGGGTGCGTCTGCGTAAGCTTCTGCGTGCATTTTGAAACCCATTCCGTTTTGAGTTGCGAAACGAACCGCGTAGACTTGCCCCCACCCCGGCGGCGGCGCCCACCAATAAGTTAGGCCTGCTTTACACAGAGCCAGCGAGCGCCAGGCCTTCCCGAGGGTAAGTCCCCCCCAACCCCCACCGCTAACGGCCTCGGGGGAGCCAGACTTTTAATCTGAACTGGCCCCTAGCTTCGGCGGGTTTACCATGGGATTTTGTGCTCCCCGAAACCTTAGGATCCCCAGCAGCTTGACCCGGTTTCAGTCGCAGTCCACTGGGGACTGAAGCGGCAGTGACACTGGCGGCCGAGCAGCTGCTGAGCCAAGGTCAGGCCCCGGGGGACAGCGGGCAGCAGCGGCCAGCGGGCTGCAGCGGCCGTAGGACGCAGGACATCAGCGCATCCCTGCCCTCCTTCCCAAGAGTCCAGGCCGCCTGGCCTGCTGCTCCAGCTTAGCTTTCAATTCCCAAGCAAACGATTCTGACCCTAAATTCGAGTTTTCTGCGAGACACCAAGAATGCAGTCCGGAATCCTTGCCCGGCTATCCCAGTAGGGTGACTAGTAAGACAGAGGCGGGCGAGAAACCCCGACCGAGGGCGCACAGCGAGTGGCCCGAGTTCCTTTCACTTTCCCCTTTGCTCGGCAATTTCGGATGCAACTACCTGTACCGATCTTCAACGGTTCCACCAGCCCAGCCTCGGAGACTCTCCCCGTACTCTGGAGGAAGTAACAGCCACAGAAAAATGCTACAGCCTCAAACTCAAGCTTAGCGTCTCGTTCCTTTCCCTTCATCCTCTGCGGATGGAGTCCGATAGGGCCGCAGCACACCTCCCTCCATTCTTTCCAAGAGCTGCGCTTCCCTAGCCCCTTTCCCGGCTGGCTTTTCTCCCTGCGCACTTCCTTCTCTTTGCAAAATTTCCTCCTTGATTTTTAATACCTTGAAAGATAGGAAGATTCATGATCCTATTAAAAACAAAACACAAAGGGAACCATTGCTACTACTATTATTATTACTCACACTTCCCCTTCCATTTTAAAGTAAGTCACATCAAAACCTCGGAAGAGAACACGCAGGAACACACTCAGTTCAGTACCCCTTCCCACTGGCCCAGTCCCTGCTGGCTTTGTCCCTGCCTTGGGTCCCCGCCGGGGTCAGAAAGTAGAGAGGAGTGCACACTGGCCTGGGAAAAGTTAATAAGAATTTTAACGACAATAGAAATAATGGGAAAACTAAACTTTGGCCAACTTAGATCGCAAAAGGAAGACTCCTAGGGAGGGTGGGAAAGGTTTTTTTGCCCCCTCGGGGGTCACTTTCCCTCTTGCCTAGTGAAATCTGACTTTATTATAATTTTTTTCCAGGACCTCAGGAGCAGCGGAGTGGTCTTTCGAAGGTTTTATTCAGCTCCCAGCTTCCCAGCTCTGGGCCTTCGGGGAAAGAGCCTTGGCTGTGTTTATTATTAGTCAGTATTCGATATGCACTTCCAATATTCCACCAGTTGTGGTTATCGCTCTTGATTCATGTGTGTGGATGGGTTGTTTGGTTTTTCAAATCAAGGATTATGAGATAAGAAACGGGACTGTTTCTCTAGACAACCAGCTGTTAGGAGAGCCGCTCTCTCAAAGACACAAGAAGGCAACAGTAGAGTTCGCTGGCAAAGGATTTGCCTTCCAAGTCCCCTCTAGTTTGGGTGGTCACCAGTCCCTAAGGGTTAGGGGTCTGAACTGAGATTACCTGGAGACTCTGCAGGCTGCGCTGAGCCCAGGGAATTCGAATCCTATCTGCAACCCAGAACTCGATGAAATCTTGCGGGTGTAGACACCATCAGCAGCTCCAAAAAGTATGTGTGTGGTGACCTTGTTGCCAGAGACTTAGGCTACTAACGCTAAGCCTGGGGTCCCCCATCAGGGGAAAGGAACCTGTCTGGACCCCCGACACATACCCTGACTGAAGGGTGCCATGGAAACTTGGGAGTGCACTGTTCTCTGGGGCTCTGGAAAAGACAAATTTTCTTTGGCAGAAGGAATGGTGTCGCGCTGTCGACACGAAAGACTATTTTTCTTGTTCCCTTTGGAGGGAGGGGGTAGAAAGAAAGCAAGAAAGAAAGGAAAATTAAATCCACACGTGTTGTTGAGCTTGCTCGAAGGGCCAGATTGAAAATCAGAGATGAAGCTACACCCCAAAGTCAGCGGCCTCCAGAGGCCCTTTCCAGCCAGCCTACCCGAGGAAGCAAAGCGAGGAGTCCCACCAGAGAGAATCCAACCCCAGTTTCATAAAGGGCTGTGCTTAAGGGGGAGGGGAGGCGATGCCTCACCCTGGGCCAGGAAAACAAAGGAGAAATTGAGAATGGTTACTTCTGTATATCAGTTCAATGTGATGCCTCCAAACTCAGTTCACATTCATGCAGAGGCCAAAGCGGGCCAGGCCTGTGGTTTGGGAACTCTGTTCCTTCCTTACTCGTGGCCACATCTTATTTTGAACTACATAGTCAAGAGGACCTAAGCAAGAAATAATTTTACCTACACTGATGCAGCTCCTCAGTCTTCCAGGATAATTCTTGTGGCCCTCAATTGCCTTTATTTTTTTTTTCCTCTCCTGAGAGAAATTTGCAAGACCCCAGTCTGGGAGTCGGCTGCCCTCAGCTGGGGCCCACTGAGAGGGAGAAGGTGCAGAGAGTCGACACTCCTGCCTGGAGCTGCGAGTGAAAACTCTGGTAATGACTTTAGAGAGGTGAAGGGAGGTGGGGTGCGGGTGAGGGTGAGGAGGGCAGCCAAACCCCAAAGTGGAAGGATCCGTCACCACGATGATTGCTTGGTCGGGACCTCTAATTTTTCTTCTTTATCAGCCTGGGTTCCCACCCCACCCCCAAGTCACTCCCTTCCAGCCTTACGCAGCCCTGATAGAAGGCTCTGGAAGCAGAAACATACCGTCCCTCTCTCCCAGTCACAGCTGGAAGAACACTGGAGAGAGAGGCCGGAGACATAACTGGTCAGGATGGGAGAGCTATGTCGTGGACCCTGGGTTTCTCATCACTATGGCAACAAGAGTCACCCACACTTTCAACAATAGAAATGGAGGGACAGAACAGCCCTGTGCCCCTCAGTGTCCTAAGGCCTGAAGATGCTCCCACTTGTGTCCTTGGCTTTCCCAAGAAAATGGATAGCATCGGCCTCACCCAGGACTCCTAGACAGAACCATAACCAGGCCTGGAGTTTTAGGTGTTCTCCACTCTATGCCCCCCTGGTCCCTTCAGTGTTGGGGACACCATGGGCAGGTACTCTAGCCATCCCTCCAATGGCCTGGAGCAACTTCTTCATGGCAGGAAGAAGTCAGACACTAATGGTAAATGACACCCCGCTTTGTTCTAGGAGCAACAACAGCAACAACAAAAACAAGAGTTTGGTTATGGATGTGGCAGAGGAAATAAAGGATTATTCTGTTTGAATTGTCCCTTAAATCCTTGGTGTAAGGAGAGAAAATGTTCTTCTTTTGGGGGTGGAGGTGGGCGGAGGCCAGTACAGCCTAAGTGTCTTGTGTCTATGTGAGAGGCAATAAGCTTGGAGAAAGAAAGGGGTGCCACCCCTGCCACCACTAACTGCACAGCTTGGCAGAGAGAAGAGAGAGACAGAGAGAGAGAGAGAGAGAGAGAGAGAGTCTAGATCCAGAGATACCCATAGAGGCTCTGGGACTGAGGGGTGGGAGCTTGTTTTCTGCTGTGGGTAAACCCAACACTCTCAGAACCGACCAGAGGAGATGAATAATCAGTCATCTCTTTTATCCAATTTCATGGTGGAGCAACTAGTGTTAGCAAAGCTCCTAGCCACCCACCCGGTGGCATATTACCCAGCCTTTCTGGTCTCAGCCTGGTGAGGCAGGTAGGGGTGGGGACAGATACAGTGTCCTCCACTTATTCTGTTCTTAGCTATTTTCTTTCAGTTTTTTTTTTTTTTTTTGGAGATGGGGCTCATGTAGCCCAGGCTGGCTCCAATTTCCTATGTTTGCTCAGGATGACCTTGAACCGATCTTCCTCCTGCCCCCAACTCTCCAGTGCTGGGATTACAGGCTTGTTTTTTGGGAGTACTAGGGGTGGCGAGGACTGAACCCTAAGTAAGCACTCTACATCACCCAATTCTCATTCCCACTATTTTCGTATTCTTGTTTTCTCAAGAGTCTCGCTGGTGTCTACACACACACAGATATTTTAGACTCATGAATCTGCCAGCACTTGAGGTTCAAGACCAATGAACTTTTTCAGCAAGCAAGAACTGCCTTGACATGAGTCCCCATGGCTCATTCAGCTCCATACAGTCCTGCCAGGAAGAGACATTCACATGTGTTCCCAACATTGTAGAAGAGGTTTCTGGGGGCACTGACCTGGGTCCCAGTCAGGAGAAAGTTGACTCCAGGCACTCTGAGTACAGAGTCCCCCCAGCACCTTCGTCATTAGCCTCTGTGGCTTCTCTGAAGAGCCTGGGGACCACTCCCGAAGAGATCCATTAGGCTGGGTAAGTTCAAAGGTCACCTTGTTAGCCTAAGATGCTTCTCCATCCAGTAAGAGATGCTCAGACCTCTCCAGGTACCTGATTTCTCTCTAGCAGTCCCATTGATACCCAGAAAACCAGTAGAGGACCCTGGTCTGCTGGCCTTTGGCAACTGGAGTCCAGGGTGGAAGATGCTGGAGCCTGCTTTCCAAACCTCAGGGTTGTGTTCTCATATCCTGGTCTCTATGTTCAGTAAATCCTTATGGCCAATACACACTGTGCCCTAGAGGTGGGGTGGAGGATATATTTAGGGATAGGGAATGTGAAGACAGCCCCAGCAGTAAAGCCACGCATCCTTACCCTAGTCTCTGGCACCCCAGTTAGGATCTGAGAGGGAGTCCCCAATGCAGGGGAAGCTGCCCCCAGAATGCTAGCCAGTTGTGGCCTAGCTTGCAGAGGGAGCTTCTGGGACAGGGCTGTGAGGACTATGAGGCCTACTGGCTTCCTCTTCCTCCTCCTCCTCTTCTGTTTTTCAATACCGGGTTTCCTGGCTGTCCTGGAACTAGCTCCATATATCAGACTGGCCTGAAACTCACAGAGATCCGCCTGCCTCTGCCTGGCTAGGCCTACTGTCCTTATGTTCCTCTTCCTCTTCCAATCACTCTTTTATTTCAGTGGCGGAGAGAAGCAGGTCATCTTGGGTCTCTCTGCTGCGGTGGCTTCCTGGGGCTCAAGTGCGGGTCTTGGAAGAGTGCTCAAGTCTGTACCCTGGCTGCCTGAATCAAGAAGATGAGGACTTCCTTGGAAGGGGGATTGCGAACATAGTCCAGCAGAGTGCCCGAAATGGAAACTTTGGAATTCCTACTCTCAAGTCCTCTCCCTAGGATCCCTGCACCTGACTGCCTGCACCTGCCTCTCTGCACCTGGCTCCCTGCACCTGGTTCCCTGCACCTGGCTGCCTTTAACCACCACACTGGGAACACTTTCGAGAGAAGACTTCTAGATCTCCAGGACTGGGGCCTTCCAATCTTCCCACTTCTACTCCCACGTGCTGGCTGTAGACATTGCCAGCACACCCATTTATGCTGTGCTGGGGATGAAACCTGGGGCCTTATACTTGCTGGGCAAGCTTCCTACTGACAGAGTAACATTCCTAGACGCTGTTGTTGTGGTTGACTTTTTGTTTGCTTGTTTTTAAGACAGTGCCTCAATATACAGACTAGGCTGTCCTAACACTCACAGATCCTCCTGCCTCTGCCTCACAAGTGCTAGGGTTAAAGGCATACACCCCCATGCCCAGCCTATCATTGAATATTAGGTACGATTGTGTGTCACCTGGCAAGGGAGTTTGTGTCATTGTGTGGACTTCCTTGAGGTATTAAATATACACACGTAAATATGTGTCAGTTTGGAGTTGTGTGGATGGATCAATGCATAAGATTCCTTGGAGTATTAAAACATGCATCTATTTACAATATGAGTATATAGATTCAAATACACACACACAAATTTTTTCTATGTACCTCCTTACAGGAAAATACCCATGAGCTATAGTGTGAACTATAGTGTGCAGGGTCATGGGACACAGGATGTGGAGGATGATCATGCATGTGTCTGTCATTGTGGAAGAACCATGTATGTATATGTGCATGTGTGGAAGTGGGGTGGGATGAGGGTGTGAGTGTGTGACTGTGCATGCCTGCACATGCATGTGAGTGTCAGAGGACAGCTTGCAGGAGTCGGTTCTCTTCTCCCACCATGTGGGTCCTGGGGATTGAACTCAGATCATCAGACTTGGCAACACACACACATACACACACACACACACACACACACACACACACACACCACCCTTCTCTCCATTTTTATCATCTACTTTTATGACTATTGTTTCCACCAGAAGTTCCAGGTGTGAGCCTGAAACTGGCCTCCAGCAGTCAGTTCGCTTAAGGCACGGCCTTCTAGAAGCCAGAAGGGATGTCTACAGACAGCCAGGGGCCACCCGTCTATATTTGGAAACAAATTCCACAGCCACTTCCTGGGAACTGGGCAAAAGGTGCCTGAGAATGAAGGGGTGAGTACAGCTGAGCATGCCGCTCACTGTCCCCCAGCGCGTGGGGAAGCCCCCCACTCACAGCAAGCTGGCGGGACCAGGTGCAAGGTGTACAGGGGTGCATGGTGCGAACAGCCCAGAGCGCACGGTGGTTGCAATGGGAGGTGCAGCGATTCCCTCTCCAGATGGACACGCAGAACCCCAATCCTTCAGAGCCCTTCCGGCTCTCTGGTCCCTGGACCAGTGATAATGAATTTCCTCTAAGCCTTACCCCTAGCCATTTCCTTCGAGCTGTCCCAGTGCTCAGCTCCAGGCAGCATTTCACCTTGTCCCTAGTGAGCAGGCTCCCAGGAGCCAGTGGCTGCTTGTGGCAAACCACTGTCTCATGGTGTCCCTGGCCAGGCCCCTCCTCTGCTCCATGGTGTTAAAAGGAAGCTGGGTTACCTGGTCCCAAGAGCCAGGACCCTCTCTGCCACACGCCGGCACTTCTTTAGAGAAAGCATCAAGCAACAGGATGCCCATGACCTAGCCATGTAGCCGTTACTTAGGGCACACATGGCACAGGTGGCGGAGCAGTTCTCATGAGAACGTAACACACAACACATGCCAGTGTAGACACAGTCATGACCACTCTCTGTCACTCACAGACTCAAGCCAGCAAGTGTGGGGTAAGGAAAGAATAAGACACAGGCACACTCAGTGGGCCGCTCTCCCCACCTGATGCGGCATCACACCAGGTCAGCCTCATAGTCCAGCACACAGCACAGCCACGGCACACGTTCATTCTCCACCACGCACACTCACAGCTGCGTTTCGTTTGTGCGGCTGACTCTTTTGAAAGAGGGTCTCCAGTCACTCGGGCCAGCCTCAAGCTCACTAGGAGATGAGGTCACTCGGGCCAGCCTCAAGCTCACTATGAGATGATGGGACTGGCTTCGAACTTGAGATGCTCTTTCCTTCATCTCACTGGCGTTTGCTGCCACACCCTGCAACCTAAAGATCACAGTACACAAGCCCTGTGTGTAGAGTCTGTCTGTCTGTCTGTCTGTCTCTCTCTCTCACACATGCACACACACAGAGTCACAAATCAGCCATCAACCACACTGAATGTCCACAACACAGTGCATGCCAATTAGCCCACCCCACACATAAGTACATGCACTCTCCAAGAGTCCCATTCATATGCATTCATTTATGATTTATACCACATCTATGCTCTGCCATACACAGACCTAACCTCTCCCCTCATGGGCACAGCCAGGCCTGGTGTGTCTACCTTAAAAGAATCTTCTGACTCAGTAGGTCCCATGCAGCCTGAGAGCCACCCATGGGGAGGAAAACGGACTTGGCGTCAGACAGAACTATCCCATCTCTATCTGCACCTTGACCCTCAGCCCACCTTTTCCTGACCCCTGGTACCCTCACAGAGGCCCCATGGCCTTGAGGCAAATCAACCCACCCCGGAAGCTGGGAAGCACCTTGTGGGCTCAGCACCCACTGGTCAAACTCCTTAATTCTGCTTGAGGAGGAATAGGTGTCTAGAGGGTCAGGCTTCCAGAGCACAGCTGAGGCTGGGACGGGCATCTTCTACTCCCTGGACAAACCACACCAAAGTGACCTCTGAAAGTTGACCCTGATCCATCACCCATCGCCACCTTTGCATCAGTCACCCATCTGCCTGCCCCCCAGGGGCCCCTGGGCTGCTTGTTTTGTAACAAACAAGAGGCTCCATGGGGCACCCCTGCCCCCAAGCATAGCCTTCCAAAGGGCATCTGAAGGTCTTGGATGAAAATCCCACCTCCACACATCCTGAAGGCTATGCTGGCTCCTGTCTATAGGTCCCACCTCCCACCCAGCTCCCTTTCTGCCTCCACACCCCTACTCCTCCTGCGCCTGCCCCCAGGACATTTGCACATATGGTTCCTCTGCTCTCTCTCTCTCTCTCTCTCTCTCTCTCTCTCTCTCTCTCTCTCTCTCTGTCTCTCTCTGTCTCTCTCTGTCTCTCTACCTAATGATATTCCCACTGCTCATTGTTGTTTATGTTTATTTGTTTGCCATGCTTTTTGCATAATGGGCACTGGGTAAATATGTGCACAATTAAATATACCAAATATATATATATGGCAGATGTGCTAAGCCCTGAGAATGCGAGATGGGGAACAGATCATATATAATCAGTAAAATGTTGCAGCGATCTTCCGGTTCCTTGCAATAAAAAGAACAGCAGTTCTGAGCCAGGTGGTGGTGGCGCACACCTTTAATCCCAGTACTCTCTCTACCCCTCTGTCTGTCCATCTCCAGTCCTTCATTAGTCCCCTTCCTTCTATGCTTTGCCTCTTCCCAGGACAAGAAGGCAGCTGATAGGTGAAAGTGGTATTTTTATAGGCTGATAAACCCCTCCTTATCTAGGAAGTTCTGTCTCATGCCCATCCCCTAAGTGTCCCTACTCAACTGTTTATTCACCAGATCTGCAGGCATCCTGGGAAGGGTGACCCTGGCCACCTCCCTGGGAGTCCTCAGCTCACTTTGGCTCGGTCCCCTCTTGCCCCATCCCCCCACAGAGGACTACCCCACCCCCAACCCTATGCTTCTGTAGGGTGGCAGGTGACAGGAGATGGGGAGAGAGACAGGGGTGAGGAAGGGTCTGCATGTCCCCACGAGTTCTCTATACCACTTTTTCTTTAATGACACCAGCTATATTAAATTCTGTACTCCGAAGTCTCTTAAATCCATTTACGGCCCATACTGGACCCTGAGCCATAATAACAATAAAATAAAACCAAGCATTTATACATCCAGGGTGTTGCCCGTAGCTAGCAGAAAAGATTGCTCTTCTAGCTGCTTTTGCTGGCTTGTCACCCATGCTCGACCTTTGGGTCTCATTGGTTGGGGGTCTTGAAGGAGGGAGGAAGGAGTGCCTGGCTTCTGCTGAGCATGCAGACTTAAAAGCTGCCAAGCAAAGAGGGACTTTGCTGGGCTCAGCTCAAACTTCACCCTGTTTCTCTCTGAACCACAATGGACCCAGGAATAGGGAGAGATGACTGGTGTGGGAAATTCGTAAAGAGAAGGCTATGCTGCAGAGCAAAGCTTTTGGACGCGGCTGCATCATTGCACATGCCCAGCGAATGTTCTTTCGTTTCTCCTGGCCTTGGTTTCTCATCTCGTGCAAAGGGTCTCATTCCCCAATGGGTGGTTGTGAAAGGAGAAAAAAAAAAAGATAAGGTGATCGTGTGTGTGTGTAAGGCCTGTGCATCAGCCGGACTTGAGAAACGTGTTGTCAAAGACCTCAGAACCTCATGGGGGGGGGGGTAAGGGATGGGGGAGGGGGGGCACGGGGAAGACTCTGCAGGCCAGTGTGTCTGTCCCTGGTCCCCTGGGGAGGAAACGAGTTCTACTTACTAAAATCTGCAAGGAGAAGTTGAGGGTCCTCTGACACAGGATTATAATGAAAGAAGGCAGAAGGAGGAGACCAGAGATGCTCATGGCCCCAGACACCCTGGCCCCAGCTCCAAAGTGGGGGCGGGGGTGGGGGTGGGTGGCTGGTCCTTGACTACTTCATTATCTGGGGCCTGGCTGCCCTAGGCTGCTGCAGCCTTTGCCCATATCTCCAATCAGCACTTAGCAGCCCAAACTAACCCACTGGTTCTCAGGCCCTCGTGCTATGGGGACAGCCATTTGGAGGCAGGAATTGTGGATTCCTCTCCCAAACCCCAGACTATCAAATGCTCATGGCAGACTCGAGGGTGTGCACTCCCTCAGTGACGAGTGCTTGCCTAGCATGTTGAAGGCCCTGGGTTCCAGCGTTGAGCATTGAAGGAGGAAGGGAAGGACGATGGAGGGATGGAAATGAAGAAGGTAAAAGATAGAATGAGAGTCGGTGACTCTGCTGCCATCCTGAACTCAAGAGGCAGAGGCAGGAGGGTTACCATGAGTTTGAACCTAGTCCAGGCTACATCGTGAACTCTTAGCCAGCCTGGGCTAAGGTCTGAGACCTGTCTCAAAAATAAATAGACCAAACACAGGCAGACAAACACGATGGCCTTCAAGCCTTCAGTCCTAGGATCCGGCTGACCTGCAGAGAGGCCAGCTTCCACTACTCCTGTGCCTCTTCCTGATTACTCCCCATCGGGAGACATAAAGGAAGCCGCATGGGCTATGAGTCGACTGGATGACCCTTCTCACCCTCCACACCACATTAAAACCCAGCTAACATCAGCAAAGCCACCTGGCCAATTGCCGATGCCCAGCAGCATGGGCAGTGCCAACGGCCAGATCCATCCATCAGACCCACAGACTCACAAACAAAATGAAGCCTCAGATGGTGGCTATTTGTTATCAGGCATT